AGTTTGACGTTCTTCAACTGGAAAATGCGAATGATATTTGTTTCACCATCCTTTTTAGGATTATTGCAAGGGTTAAATGCAAAAATGCTTGCCATAGTGTTTTGAGAAATTTCTGTGTTAGTGCCAACCTAACACAGTACCTGCGTTATATACAGAAGGTACTCTGAAAGAATGAATGTCTTAAAGGTTAAGTAGAAGATTATTCTCGCTTCTCTGTCTAGTTCTTGAGTTCTTGATTTACTTTTATATTACCTAAGTACTTGTATTTGCCAGTAATTTTACTTCTGTAAAATTCTCACAAGCTTGAATATATATAATAATTAAAAATAATGACGTGTTCTGAACTAATAATAGCTAATGTCATCAAGAACTTAATTACATGAGTAGCATTTACTATATAGGAGTGTTATAGGGTCCAAAGGAGAGAAGTTCTGAAGGCATCAGTGAAGACAGAGTGTATTAAATCCTTTCCTAATGTGGATAGCTTTATATAGTCCCCCCCAACCCCCGCCCCCTCCTCGATCTTGCAGGTCCTTACTAATAGGTTGCAAAGATTAATTGCAAAGGGAAAAGTTCGGAACTTTAGAAAACCAAACTGAATGCTTAAATTTGAAAGGGATTCCAGGGCCTAAGTTGTACATCTAGTAAAAGGATCTCCTGTTTGATCCGCATAAAGTTCGACCTGCTCAACAGCTGCAGCTTAGGTCTTCCCTGCTGTCCGGACAGTTCCTGAGGAGCAGAGGTGCAGGCCCACGCTTCTGCACTGTTTCTCGAGGGTTCAGGGCTCACTTCCCAGGTGTGAGTAGCTCCTGATCCTCCTGCCTTCTCCTTTGGTAATATTAGGGTTTTTAGAAGATGAAAACCAGCTTCTTTCCATTAAAAGGTTTATGATTTTTGTTGCACTTGAGAAAGTCCAAAGAAAATTGATTCTGACTCTTTAATTTTTACATAACATTTTCTTTTATTTACTCCCCCCCCCTCATTTTGTGTTGTTTAGCATATTGGTTTGTAAGTTTATCCTTTGAGGGGGAAGAGTAATGGAACTGAGGCCCAGTAAAATACTGGGGCGGGGAGGAGCCCAGATAATGAACACACACACACACACACAAAATATATATATATATATATGCCTAAAGCCTAATATGCAAATTGTTCTCTCTGGAGTTTGACCAAGAGACCTGGAATTCAATCACTTGCTATGATGTGCGATGACCACCAGGGGGTGGCGCAGAATGAAAAGAGGCCCCAGCTGGCAGCTGGAAGGCCCTGATTGGCCCTGATCGCCAGGCCTAGGGACCCTACCCATGCACAAACGGGCCTTTAGTATTTTCAGATTATTCATTTGATTCATCATAAAAATTGTTGGGGCATTTTGAAATGTTGCTTCCTTTTCACTTTTTGTGTTTATAAATTTTGTTTCTGTAGGGGCTATCTGATGGGTTAGCGTGCCTTTTGAGAAGAAATCTGTGGATACTGGATTTGTTCCTGTTAATAAAGGCGGAAAGGCGGTACCAAGCCTCTGCTATGAAATATGGAAAAGAATGAAAAGCAGCAGAAAAGAAGCATCTAGTAGGAAACATGGAAACATATTAAAGCTCGGACTAGAATATCTTCTTGGTATCAAAGAGACTAGCTTATACAGTGTTTTTTCCTGCTGACCTACACTGACATACCCATGTTAAGTGGCATTTTCTTCTCGGTTTTTAATTTAAGGAAAATATACTCCATTTCTACACCTGTAATATTGAATAGAGTAATTATTTTTTACAACCATCTTAACATTATTTTGGAGATGACATTTCTGACTTTCAGAAATGAATGTAAAATCAGGAAGCAAGATCCCATAAAGCTGGGAACTCTGGACAGCTGACCAGTTTTACCTGTGGTGCTTTGCCTTTAAACAGAGTGTGTGCTAGCACATTATTTCAGATGTGTATGTAAGACTGTTTGCTGAACAATAAGGTGTATGAAAGGAGCAGGAATAAAGAATTTTTCTAATTAACATCTTTTATATTTGTTTTTTAATTGATGATATTAACCTTTTGGACTATAATTATTCAGTCCCATCTTGTGATTTTAGTTACTGATGGTGGCCTAAAGTCTCAACATATAGTTGGCAGGATGCCCTGTGAGATAGCAACTTCACATTCCTATATATACTCAGGCTGGACTGCAAGTCTGTATCAGAATTGTTGGAAATGTGATGCGTTAGATGAACATTCCCTTCAGCCTTTCATTTTTACTAATTAACACATTTGAGCACATCTGAGAAACATCTCTAGTCCAATGTGGTCTTCCCCTCATTTCTGCTAGCCAGGCCTTTCAGTTCTCCCCGACTGGCCATGAACTTCTCTAGTGGCTCAGTTCTTACCCTAAAATCTTTAAGTTTTCAGGAAAGTTTTCACTCGGGTAAATTTTTTTTTTCTAATTCCAAGACTAATCTAAAAGTATCTGTTCATTAAATTAAAAAGGATTCATTTGTTAAAAAAATATTTTGAATGCCAGTTATATGCCAACCAACACTGAGGATAAAAGGACTCAGTACGACAAAGGGAAGAGAAGATAATCAAAATCTTACAGGGAAGCCAGATAATCAAAAGATAAAAATGTTTATAAAATGTCAAATACTGATAAATGCTACAAAAATCGAGCAAAATAAGTTAATAGTTTGTACTGTAGTGATGAGAGGTGGGAAGAGGTTGCTATGCTCCAAAGCTCTGAAAACGGGAAACAAGACCTATATGTACTCACCAACTTTAAAGACTTGATTTAACTTTAATTACACTTTTTGGCCAATTTTAATTTTTATTATTTTTGTAATTCTCACCCAAGGACACACTTAATAATTTTAGATAGAAGGGAAGTGTTTTGTGTGTGTGTGTGTGTGTGTGTGTGTGTGTGTTTGTGTGTGTGAGAGAGAGCGAAACATTGATGTGAGAGAGAACCATCAATCATTTGCCTCCAGTACGTGCCCTGATGCGGTATTGAATCTGCGATCTATGTAGGGAATCAAACCCACAAGCTATCGGTGTATGGAACGACACTCCAACCAATTGACCCACACCAACTAGGACATATTTGGCCATATTTTAAAACTAAGCTAGGTGGACAGAAGATAATCTAAAAGTGTTATTTTCAAAAGGTCTTTTTCTAAGTGATTGAGTAATGAACAGTCCTTTAAGCACCACCAGATGGTGCTATTAAGGTTTGGTGTATTTTTCTGTGTTACAGCTCTTAGAAGTTTTGGTTTTGATTTTTTTAAGAAAATTTACTAAATACAATGAAATAATTTAAATATTTTTCCTTGTAAAATTGCAGGCTCTTAGAAGTTTTGGTTTTGATTTTTTTAAGAAAATAAAAGAAAATTTACTAAATACAATGAAATATATTTAAATATTTTTCCTTGTAAAATTACAATATTTTTTGTGAAGAAAATAATTGTACCTTGTACTGGAGTTAAAATGCTTTTGGGGATACTAAACTAAAATGGCACAGCCTGACAGAAAGCCTCCAAGAGATGTAATGAATGAGAGAGAGTAAATCAATAGATTAGATTGGGCCCAGCCAGTGTGGCTCAGTGGTTGAGCATCTACCCATGAACCGGGAGGTCACAGCATGCCCTGGTTTTAGGCTTGATCCTGAGTAGGGGGCATGCAGGAGGCAGCCGATCAATGATTCCCATCATTGATGTTTCTATCTCCCTCTCCCTCTCCCTCTCCCTCTCCCTCTCATCCTCTCCCTCTATCCTCTCCCTCTCTCTGAAACCAATAAAAACATACTTTTTAAAAAGCTGTTAAAAAAAATAGACTAGAAAAGAAAAAAAAATAGACCAGATCAGAAGCAAAAAAGTCTTTGATTTTATTACAGGATTCTCCAGGAAATAGGTACTATAAAGGAGTCAGAAGTGCAATGTGGTTTAGTGGAGAGAAATAGCAGAAAAAAGTAAAGGAAGGATGCAACATTAGCCAGGGGAAGCTGTCATTCTGTGATGCCAAGCTGACAGAATTGCCCTTAACCCAGCGATTTTTAATCTTTTTGATCTCATGGTGCGCTTTAATTACTAAAATTCTGTAGCCTGGCCAGTGTGCTTCAGTGGTTGAGCACCCACATATGAACCAAGAAGTCCCTGGTTCTAGTCCCAGTCAGGGCACCTTTCTGGGTTGTGGGCTTGGTCCCCAGTAGGGGGCATGCAGGAGACAGCTGATCTATGTCTCTTTGATGTTTCCATCCGTCCCTCTCCCTTTCTCTAAAATCAATAAAAACACTTAAAAAAATAATTTAAAAAATTAAGTAAAATTCTCTGCACATCAAAAAAAAATATTTTTTTGCCAATCTGACAAAAAAAATAGGTATCATTTTGATTCATTCACACCAGATGGTTGTGTTGGCTGCTGTCATTTTTTTATTTGACAATCTAATAGTAACGAGGTCAGTGTCCCTGACTAAATAGATATTGCATGTTTTAAAAATTCTTGCTGCATACAACTGATAATCACTGTGTTAGCCCCATGGGGAGCTCCAGAGCAGCAAAACCTGCCTGTCAGAGGAGTAGTATGTTGGATGGAAGTGGCTGGACCCTCACACCATTGCCTTGTCAGGTCTTTGGCCACCCTGAGGTTAGCATGACCTTGGCTGCAAAACAGGTGAGCCCTGACAAAGCTAGCAACGAGGCTGTCAGCTGGCCCCACTCATAGCCAGGCAGGAGGTCGGAGCCATTCATCTCTGTCACAGATTTGTAAAGAAGACATCCTCTTTACAGGATTGAAGTGAGGAAATCCTGTATACCTATACCTTGCTTATAAAAGAAAGATTGGACTGTGTCGTTAATGTTTGAATTGGGAAGTAAATGGTACATTTCTAAAGTGTAGAACTGGAATAAAGGTTATCTTCCTGTTTTGCTGGTAAGTGAATGGAGATGTGTTTGCTGTAGGGCTTGAAGTAGAATCCAGGTCTTCTGCATGGCAGACCAATGGTTTCCACCACGTGCTGCTATTTCTTGGGATAGACGATCACTCTGAATGTAGTAATAAGAAACATACGTTAACTTGTAAAAGACAATGCCAAGTGCTGGGTTATATCAGTGAGCAAGAAAAGCACAACCTCTGTCTATAGGTAATTTATAATTTAGTGAATGCACACAACTGGGCCAGTTCTCTGCTATAGGAGCTCGTGGCAGGAACACTGAAACCCAGATTTGGGAAGAGAGAATTCTTTAATTTGGCTTGGGAACATTGGGCTACTCATCTACCTAAAAGTTTCAAGTGTAAGTACACTTTTTCCCCCAAATCTCTTTTTCTTGTGTTACTCATGTACTAAGTCTCTTAATTGCAAATGAGAGAAACTCACTCAAGCTATCTTAAGCAACAAAGATTATTAGGATACTAGAGGCCCGATGCATGAAATTTTTGCAAGAGGCTTGGCCCTCGTAGCCTTGGCTTCGTCCGGAAGGTTGTCCAGAAGGATGTTCGGAAGGCCATTTGCCTATCCGGTCTAATTAGCATATTACGCTTTTATTATTATAGATTGGAGTATTATGGTACTCAAGACAGGGATGCTGCTGGGCATTAGGAGTACCAGAATTAAAGAACATGGCATGATAAGAATTCTATTTATTTCTGACATATTTTATGGGTCTGCTTCATGCTTTTCTATTTGTAAAACTGATCACTTTTATTACTCTAGGTCAGAGTGGTAGGAATCATGGCTGTCAGCCTGTCCTTTTTTAAAAATATATATTTTTATTGATTTCAGAGAGGGAGAGAGATAGAAACATCAATGATAAGAATCATTGATTGGCTGCCTCCTGCATGCCCTGCACTGGGGGCTGAGCCCACAACCCTGGCCTGTGCCCTGACCAGGAATCGAACCATGACCACCTGATTCATAGGTCAATGCTAAACTACTGAGCCACGCAGGCCGGGCTGCCAACCTGTCTTGATCATGACATTTGACAGCTTCAGGCACTTTAGAGGAAATTACCTTGTTCAATCATTTTGTAATGTCACCTCCTTGAATGGGAACACCAACCCTTTACCTCATCTTCGGCTATCCTTCCCTAATCCCCTCCCCAGCCCGCTGCTTCTAGTTGTCTAGCTACCTCGTTGCAAGATTACCCAAAGTTCAGTTGTTATCAAGTTGATGGAATTTAGTTCATATATGTGAGAGGATTCACATCTTAATTTCATTATCCATGGTGAGGTGTCCTCTAACTTCTATTGAACCTGCCAATGGTGGGAATCTTTTTACCTCTCAGAGCAGCCCATTCATTCCACCTGCAGATCTCTGTTTTTGGAAAGCTACTTTCTTGTTTTGCTTTAGTTCATTACAATGTAATGACAGCATTGTAAGCATTAAAACCCTGTTGGGGAGCCCCCATTTTACCAGGCTTACCGTTTCTAGCTTTTCAGGCTCAAGCATGTGGTCTGGTTCCTTTATGGTCATTCTTCTCTCACTGCACTCATTGTCTATATTCCTTCAAAAAACGAGTTTCCCAGAAGATTATTTCTGGGATGCTTATACTGCGATTGATATAGCCATTTTGGTGGCTCCATACTTCTCATAAGTAATGCTAATTACCAGGGTGTAGGCAATGGTCACTACACATCTCAATGGACAGTACCATGAGTTAGTAGGAGTTCACACTTGGGATCAATCAGATTTGGGTTCACGTTCCAGCTCTGGCAATTACTAGCTATGTCACCATGGACAAGTCATTTAGATTCTGTGAGCCTTGTTTTCCTCTTAGTAAAATGAAACCAACAATTCCTATCTCATAGGGATGTTCTGAGAATTAAATGAGATAGTGCTCAATCTCTGGAACATATTAGGTGCTCCAGAAATGTTAGCTCTAAAATTATCTGCAGTATCTTTCCTTTCACATGCTGTAGTTTTATTTAATGCATGACTATATGTTCTCCTCTGGGGATGGTTGTGGTGGAAATGCCACACGAGTGTGTGTGTGATAAATGTAGTTGAACACAGAATGTCCGCTTTTATTTATTT